GTACACCTGATATTATTAATAGGCCAAGAGCCAATAGAAAGGACTAAGCAGAAATTTCCTAAATTCCCTTTTGTCCACTTAAAGTAAATTCTGTGAATATAACAAATACATGACATCCGTACTAACAGGATATTGTAGACATCCTGAAATTTGCACAGACATTTAATGCTGCAAGTCATTTTGAGTCTTATATTGACAAAAATTGAGAAAATTCAGTTGTTGGTGAGAGCTGGTAATTATTCCACATGAGATGGAGAGACAAGCCCCAGATGGTTTTGTAGATTCATGTGAAACTGGAGGCTGCTTTTAATTCAAGAAAGAGCTTTCAGTGGCAATGCTTTCTGAAGTTAATCCCACTCCGTGCATCTTACTTGTACTCCTTGGCACAACATGGCACCTGCCTTAGCTTGAGCAGCCACAATGGGAACAGGGTCAAAGAACTGATCCATAAAAACAAACAGACAAATGTCAAAACATTATCGCTGATACCAACTTTGTCACGTACAATCACTGAACACTCTCCAGTTTTGGAAAAACAAGGCTGTTAACTGTGATAGTCAAGCCTATCAACACAACCAATAACTCAAAATCCTAACATTTTACAAGAGGATAGTCCTCAAATACCCTCTTTCACTTGAAGTAAGGTTAGAAGTTAAATTCTAAGTGGGAGACATCTGAACTTCAGAGTCAAGAATTCACCTTCACATTTACAGGAACCATCTGTGATACATCAGAAGTATATCCACATGGATTCCCTTTTTTCCTTTGGGGGAAACTCAGAAGCATCCAGAAACCCAGAGTGGAATAAAGCAAAACAGGAAGCTCTGAAAGTTTACTTCAACATTTTGAAGTCATTTAGTTAGTGAGTCATAGAAACTTCCTAAGTGTATTGATATAGTTTGGTTTAGGCTTTTGCCTTCCCAAAAAGCCATTTGGACACAATTGTCACAATCACACAAAGCTTCAATTTAGACAGAACAAGAATAGTTTGCAAGAAAATTCTTTGAACTCTAATCAGAAGACAATAACTTCAGGAAAAAATATTCAGATTACTACAAAATGTAGCTGATTAAAGCCATCCTTGTCACTTCCCATAATAAAGCTTCCTCAGACACCATGCTTTGAAGAACCCTAACCGATTTTCAACCACAATAGCTTAAACAAATAATTTTAAAACTACATATTTTTCTATGAAAAATTAATATTGAGATTCTAGAGATTCTCCAGTTTGAATAAACATTGTAAAGCTGTTGGTTGCACAGGATTTTTAAAGGTTATGACATACTCTGTACTACCAGCTACCACAAATGGACCTAGACATTAAGAACACTTTCCATCTAGCCAAGAAAATCTAACATTCCTGCTTTTTACATTTTGGTTTAATTCATACTCTCTAGCAGCAGATGCTTTAATATGAAGTCAACAAAAGTTGACTTCACAGAAATTTGAGCCACCGAAATATAGGCTTATTAAAACAGCAAAGAGTCAAAAAAAATCTGACAAACAGAAAACTTGAAGGAAAAATTCACCAAATGAGCTAATTCACTGTTTCTAGCTAAGTCTCCAGGGTGCCTGTACCTCTGTTCTTAACTCCAGGCAGGTGCTTCACAGCATCCAGATTAGACCCAAAGATCCCTCCTGATCATCCTCAGCCCCAATACATTGTATGTTAATAGGAGACTATAAGTTCCTGTATTCAAGATTTAGAGCAGAGGTTTCTAAAACGTCTCGGTGATCACAAGCTCATTTGTTCCCCAAAACATAGCAGCAAACATTGCCAGGGAGAAGATGCACAGGTTTGAAGCACTTACCCTGAAATGCTTTACCCGCCAATGCCTCACCTTCCTCCTTTGTCATAGAAAAGGTGTTTGCACATTTTATTGCCTCTGCACCAGCCTACATGGAAGGCATGACACTGCAGAGCCATTTGAACAAGAATAGTTGTGCCAAGCCAGCTCTACCCAGCAGATGTGCTGATGAGGAGGTTGGCTCAGAGCTTCACTTGGGCAGAGGTTGCAACTGCATCTGAGTTCATAGCTTCCACATGTTTACTGAGCTCCATACCCACCTAGCCACTATTTTAAGAATGCATCTCTCCTTTTCTCTTCAAGAGCAAAACAACTCCAAACTCTGACTCCTGCTCAGTGTCTAGAAGTAAGACATTCAAATGAAAATGCAACTGCCAGATGATGGTGTCCTTATATTTCCCTAAATGGATCAAATGCTTGTCCTCTAAGGGTAAGATAATCAGTTTTCATATTTTTGTGTATTACCTTAGTTAAATCAATACTCACGGTGCCTCTTACTGTGGGTCTCTCTATTCACCATGAAAAATCCTGTTAAAGATCTCCTGCTTCCAAAAACACAAAGCCACATAAGCAGGTACATCTAAGACACTATACAGGCAGTTGTCAACTCACAGTTTTGAATGAGGTCTCTGGAATACTAAGCTTGATGCTTAGTAAAACTGACTCTAAATTGCATCTCCTATTAACAATGGTTAATTACTATGTGAAGGGCAAAGAGCTGAAATTTAAAGGCAGATCCAAATAACAGTTTGACAGGCATTCCAAATACGTTTGCTTTCACGGAAGCTGAACTGCATGCAGTTGAAAATAACCAAGATGCTTGATCAGCCATTCACATGTACACAGCTGCTGCATATAAAGGACACTAAATATAACAGGGAGCAGAAAAGAATAGGAGCCAGAAAAGTCAGCACTGCTCTTAAGATTTCCAGCTAAATGTTTGTTTACATTATGTTAGACAGTGACAAGACTTCTGCAACTGACATTTTGTTGTTCTGCTTGTGTAAATGCAATGTATATGGTTTCAGCTATGAAACCACTCAACTCTAAGTACTCTCTCAGATGAAAAACATCTTAGTAAGCCTTTTACAGCATCTAATTATATGGTAAGTTTACTAAATGTATTAACTGAAGATCATATCAATCAAGCTGCATGTCCTCTTGGCTTGCCCAATAGCCAAAAGAACCCATCCCATGTGTCCCTGTTAATCTGCATGGACAAACTGGGGGACTAGCCTGTAATTTTTCTCAAAACCTACTTCCTACAATTCTGAAAGGGACAGATCCTGTTTCTGGTAGTGTTTACTACCTGAAGATGGAGGGCAAGCCCAGAAACAGCTCTTGACACCTACCCCAGATTTACTAAACCATAGCTGCTTCGTGCCTTAAGCCTCTATCCCTCCATGCAGCTGACAGGTTAGCAACAGACTGGTAATACATAGCCAATCTTCAGCCAAGGAATTGCTCCAGAAAACAGTCACAGGACTAAGAGGTGCAAGAGTCTACTGCTCACCACTGAGGCAAAACTCATCTCCCTTAGCATTTATTTCCCAGTTCAATTAAGCAGCTGCCCCTGTTGCTATAGGACAAAGATCCCACAGAGAATCCGGAGCACTTACCTGGCACAGGTACTTCCACTAGGAAGCAGCATGGAAGAGGTGGGTGCAGTAACACATGGATATTCTGAACAGCTGAACATTCAAGTCTTCATTTCCCACAAATCTGCTCTAGGTGAAGTGTACTAGAAAAATTGGGCCAGGTATTGATTGGATTAATGTGCACCTGAATACTTCAGGCCTTGATTTCAGGAAACAGCAGGTGGGAGAATGCATATCAAAAGGAACAGTTGAAGGAGGACTGATACTTGGTCATAATTTTGAGACATTCAGAATCTAGGAACTTTGTTCAGGCTCATATCCTTTTGAACCGGATACTTTGTAGAATCACTCAGGTTAAGGAAAGCTCCAGAATAAGAGTTATGTATGTACATAAGTTTGATGCTGTTCCTTTGTGCCCAGTTATTTGCGACATAGCTGGTACCATTTCTCCCAGGGGATCCTCAAGACTCAGAACAGTGGATGGCTGATGCTTAACAGATTAACAGCAATCCACATTTTTTCTCCTCATTGAATTAACAGGCCAGGATTTATTTGTTGCACAGGATTGGATGGATGATTGAATGATTTCCTGACAAGGACTTCCTAGGACTGAGCAGATACTAATTTGTCTTTACAAAACCCCTCCAAAAGTAATTTTAACTACATGCATCATAAGGAGAGCTGAGGAACAGCTGAATTAGAAGTCCAGCCCAAGATAGACAGTATTTTCATAGTACCAGTCACTTAAAAAAAAATAGAGGTTACATGGTCTCCTACAAGAAATGAAATCCTGGCTCTACTGACTTCTCATCCTATTCATCTTGCCAGTTAAAATCCTCTCTCTTCTCCCATACACACATTTGCTTTTCTGTTCTTACCTCTTCTTGGGGCTTCTTTCTTGCTTAGTCCTAGTTTTGAACTTGCATGCTTTACTGAGCAGTCCCTGATCTTCCCCACTGCCTCTCAGACTGGCTTGTACTCCTTCCTGCCTGCACAGTAGCTCCTTGTTGCAGGATCCATGTTCAGCAAGACCCATTAGCCTATTCCCTGGCCTTGACCTTCAGTCTGCCTCTTCCCACAACAATCTCAGTTCTTGCTGGTTCTCCAGGATGTTTACTGCCTCAAACTACAGCTTCTGCCCCAGGTGCCAGGTGTGTTCCTCAGCACCCAGCTCACAGCTATTTCCTCCACACTGACAGATAAGGTTCAAGGTGAAGTCACTTGGGTATACTGACATGTTACTTAGCCCAGATCAAAACCCTGACCTAGACTTTCAATCTGTTCTGCTTCCTGGAGTCAACAGTATGAAAACAGGGTAGGAGAAATTTGTTCCTTTCTAATTAATAGGTTTGTCTAAAGGCAGCATACTCCACATAGCCTCATTTTCACATTACAGTCACAAACATAATTGTGCTGATAGACTGAAATCTGACAACAGATTCCATGAAACACATCTGTCTGTATCATACGAAGCCTCACAAAGACTTATCAGCGAACTTTAAGTTATCAAATAACTACTGAAATTCTAAACCCACAAAGGGCTTCACTCTACTAACACATAGCTCAAGACTAGCAGTCACATGTTTAGGCTTACCTTTGCCAGCATCTGGACACTGAACTACTGGGGGCTGCTCCCCAAGGGAAAGGAGGGCAAGCCAGCAACCAAGGCTAGATCCAGCACAAGCAGGGCCCTCTCTGAAGGCACAGTCCTACAGAGGCTGAAGACAGCACAGCTGGGTGCTGGTAACAGGTTTTGCCAACAGTTTCAGGCACTACAAGGGGATAAATCAGGCCCAGGAAGTCCAGCCAGGAACAGAAAAGATTAGTCCAGAAACAAGACTTGAAACAAGGGCACAAAAGGTTCATCCAGGAAACACACAGCAAAGACACAAGATCCATCCAAGAGGACAATACTGGAGACAAGCACACCTCCAACAAAGCTTGGGTGGAGGTTAGTGTTTCTGTGCCCATGGGTGTTGGTGGAGGTCCCAGGTGAAGTTGGTCAGGGTTACTAAGGCCATTAAGACCACAAAATGCACTGAAATGTTTTTTTAGCTAACCAGGTGATCACTTGAGGCAGTTCCGCAGGCTCCCCCAGGTGATCTCTGTGGCATATAGTGCAGCCATTAGCGCTGTTTACATTCCTCTGTGCATTGGTTCCTGTGCTGGCTGGAGGATTTAGCCTATCCCAGTGTCAGCTCCCTGGGCAGTTCTACTGCAGTGCTCAACAAATATACACGTAAAACACTTGCAAGTAGTCGGGAGAAAAGATGCAGGCATGGCTGCACAGGACTACTCATGTAAGGCAGTCAGGATGTTTCACATGTATTTTAATAAGATGGACAGCCATGGGCCATGCATGTGCTGGAGTGGTCACAGAGAACAGTGGCACTGCTGCGTGTACGTACTCTGCAGTCTGGGGGTCTTTACCAAGCCCAGCTGAAGATTTGCTGTAGGGACCCTGCACCCGAGACCCCTCTCACTGCCTGGACAGTGAATCACTCTCTTGCTCAAGAGGTTTAATTCACCATGCAAGCACTGCTCTGCTCAGAAGGTTATGGGTGGTTTGTTGAGGGGGGGGGTGTTAAAAAAAAAGTAGGGCTTTGTGCATGAGTGGCAGTGCAAGATCTCTCTCACCTCTGTCAGCTGCATGATCAACAACTGCCTCCACTCAGTCAGCTCTTTGCTAACAGAGGGGTGAGGAGTGTGGAAGTGTGGGTAGTGACCCGTATTTATGTGGTACTTAAAAAAAATTAGCACTTTCCCAAGTGATAACAAAGATTTTTGTGCACGGTGACTGTACCTCAGGAGCACTTAGCAGGTGCCAGGGTTTCTGCTTTTGTGTTTATCTTCTCCTCGGCTTGGAGTCACCTGTCGGGATACCTGCCACTGGTACCTTGAAGTCAGTCTGTGAGCACAGTGCATGCAGAGCAGAGCTCACCCAGGTTTTGAAAATACTTGCAGAAGCCAGAAAGTTTTGAGTTTTAGAAGTAGAACTCCTAAAATGAACAAAGTCCCTTACCAAGTATCCACAAAGTATATTTGCTTAAGGATTTATTATTTGGCCGACTAGGACAGCGCTTCCACAAAGAAAAAAGTCACATCTGTATCATTACTTCTAACCAGTTGTCAGAAATATTGTGTATGCTTAATCCAAAACCTAAAGGGACTGGAAAGAATTTCTCCATTTCTTGACTGAAACAACATTTTCCTCAGAAAGAGATCAATACTTTTAGCTGAAATGTTGCAGGTCCTCATCCTTTCCTCCCTCTGCACATAAATTTAGTCCAGGCTGACAATTTTGGCACATATAGTTAAAATGTTCCAAATTTTTAAGGAACCGGAAATAATACATTAATGGAAAGAGTCACCTTAATATCTATGAGACTGTTAATGCCAGCTGTATCAAAACCATTTTATTTGCACTCTGATATCAAAATGAGCTCTCTCACACAGTGGTTTCTTCTGTTTCATCTTCTTTTCACAAATATACAAAATATTCACCTATCTATACTTTCCTTAAGTGTACCACTGCTATGCAATTTCAGAATTTAAAGGAGAAGAAAAGAAAGAGTGAGCTACTCCATTAATTTCTCTTGACTTCTCATTTTGCACCCTTCTGGTGACATGGACAGCTTTATTCTCACTGAAATTAGATGTGCACTGGGTTAATGAAAAGAGCACTCCCTGGTTCTGCTGTAATCAGTTTCATTCTCACTCTCTGACATGGAAGAATTAAACAGTTGTGGGACTTTGTTGTTTTTTATACCACTAACAAAGAGAGATACAATCACTCTTTTCCCTAGAACCCCATAGTTTTGTTTATATAACCTGGTCACTGTGTATCAGACACTGTGTAATTGTCTCACTTGACACTAACAGAACACCTAAGACCACAGTGTCTGGAAACCTTAGGCATTTTAAATGTAAACACAAATGTTTATCTGATTTAATCTGTACCTTATACTGGTGCAGAAAGTAACGAGTAACTACTTGTTTCCTTGCATGTTGTCTCCTGCTGCATGAATAGATGAAGAATTCTTTGTTTTTCTGATATGTTTTGTTTTACTTAATGCTCAGCTGCAAGGCTATTCTTTATGGGGTCTAGAATCCTAGAAAGTAACATTGTTCCCTGGGACACACACTGGCAGATATTTCTGCCCTTTGATTTTAAAAGGCTGAATCAAGGCATCCAGTCAAGAGATGAAAAATCTGGGTTTGTTCCTGAAAAGAGCAAAGGAAAGTAGCAAAAGAAAAACATATGGAGGATGATGTTTCCATGCACCAACGAAACCTGAGATCTTTTTAAAGGTGTGAGCACCAAAATTTGGAGGAGTCATAATCTTTATGTTTTCACAGAAGCTGACAAACTGAATGAAACACTTCATTTCACAGCTGAACTTTAACAGGAGATATCATATCTACCATGCATTATTAATTGCTTGCTAATGAAGTATAAAACTGTATTTGTGTCACCACATTACTTCAGACATAACTGTGAGCAAAGCCTCTTCTTCAGATTGCCTCTATTATACATCTATTGGTAAACTGGAAAGCAGTTTGACTAAAATTAGTTTTTCAACTGAATCAAATAATTTTCCAAGGATGTGTGACTGCCCTTATATATAATATTAACATCAATAAAGAAATTAAGATGGAAAGGTAACACACTCCGGTACAGACTTACCTGGCTGATAGATTATATGTCACCAAAAAGAAAAAGGTAAAGCAGATTACACCAAGATTGGCTTGGTTTCCTCTTATGTGTAATTAAAAATAATCAGGAGATTGATACTTCTTGTCTGTTGTTCTACTTACCACTTCATTCCCTCAGTGTGTGGTGCACAGTCATAATTTGGAGTATGGCATGAATTTTCACAGCGCAATATGTAAATGTACTGTCAAAGCTTCTGCCACAGATCAATAGTTTCATGGCAGTCTCTGAGCTAGTGGCTCATTTGCGGGAGAAATTTCTCCTGCAGATTTTAGGGAATGCTAAAGACCTGCACACCTAGACTTGATATGCCTCATTCTTCCATTCAGTCTGTTCTCATTCTGCATATTAAAGAGGCTCACAAAGACAGAAGAAACAGAAAAAAAAAGTAGCTACCACATTTTCCCAACCTACTCAGCAGTAGCACATCAGTTCCTCCAAACCTTACAAGGGAAACGAAGGTTAAAGCTCTGACGGGTGTAGGGGTAAGGTGGTGGCAGGGCAAAGTCTCAGACTCACACCCTGCTTACAGGGTGTAAGCCTCCCCCTGTACACCATCAGAAAACCTGCTGTGATAAATCGGGCACTGTGCTAAACTGTCAACAGCAAAGCACCTTGAGGTTCTCCATCTGCATGGGCACTGGCAGCATTAAATGCTGTTGACAGCTTCCTTCCCAGAGGCAGGGGGAAGATATTTTCAGAGCACAAGGCAGTTTTATTATGCTCTTCTCTTAAATAACTTTCAAATACTTTTGTCATTTTTGTAAGTTATTCATGCCTTGGGAACTTAATCCTGTTAAAACCAGAAGGGTGGCTCAGGCTCATGGGCTGCCAGTATTTTAAAAGACAGTTTAAGAACTGAGATTGCTCAGGAAATAAAAATGACAAACACAACTTCCTAAGTTACAGGCCAGCTCTTATTTCTTAAACTTTCTTCAAAGGAAGGAAGGAAGGAAGGAAGGAAGGAAGGAAGGAAGGAAGGAAGGAAGGAAGGAAGGAAGGAAGGAAGGAAGGAAGGAAGGAAGGAAGGAAGGAAGGAAGGAAGGAAGGAAGGAAGGAAGGAAGGAAGGAAGGAAGGAAGGAAGGAAGGAAGGAAGGAAGGAAGGAAGGAAGGAAGGAAGGAAGGAAGGAAGGAAGGAAGGAAGGAAGGAAGGAAGGAAGGAAGGAAGGAAGGAAGGAAGGAAGGAAGGAAGGAAGGAAGGAAGGAAGGAAGGAAGGAAGGAAGGAAGGAAGGAAGGAAGGAAGGAAGGAAGGAAGGAAGGAAGGAAGGAAGGAAGGAAGGAAGGAAGGAAGGAAGGAAGGAAGGAAGGAAGGAAGGAAGGAAGGAAGGAAGGAAGGAAGGAAGGAAGGAAGGAAGGAAGGAAGGAAGGAAGGAAGGAAGGAAGGAAGGAAGGAAAGAAGGAAGGAAGGAAGGAAGGAAGGAAGGAAGGAAGGAAGGAAGGAAGGAAAGGAAGGAAGGAAGGAAGGAAGGAAAGGAAGGAAGGAAGGAAGGAAGGAAGGAAGGAAGGAAGGAAGGAAGGAAGGAAGGAAGGAAGGAAGGAAGGAAGGAAGGAAGGAAGGAAGGAAGGAAGGAAGGAAGGGAAAGGAAGGAAGGAAAGGAAGGAAGGAAGGAAGGAAGGAAGGAAGGAAGGAAGGAAGGAAGGAAGGAAGGAAGGAAGGAAGGAAGGAAGGAAGGAAGGAAGGAAGGAAGGAAGGAAGGAAGGAAGGGTATTATAAAATATATAGCCATTCCTCCTTAAAAGTTATTTCTGGGTCTGTTTATTAGCAGAAGAGATTTTAGAGACAGACATCTACCAAATTTTCTAGAGTCCTGGGGAGCCTGACTGACAGTCCCTTAAGGAAGTCACATGAGGAATAAAAACCCAAGCAACAGAACGTATTCTTCCCAGCAGTGTTAGGGGCGTACATGACAAATCCCAAGCATGCATTTTTGTACCCAGTCTTGATTCAGGCTCCTAAGGTTTACTGCAGAAGTAATGACTTAACTGTTTCTGATGTCCATTGCCAATTTCTCCTTTGAAAAGTGTACTGAGTAAGAAAAGGCCAAATCTCCATGGGTGAATTTCTTTGGTTTCTGTCTTCTGTACACATAGTAGCATTAAAAAAAGACTGACTGCCCCCCACCTCCCAAACTTGCAAACAAAACAGAGCAGTTCTTTCTGAGAGAGAGAAAGGCTTTTGCTTTTATTCAGGAGAGTCAGAAAATAGCCTGCAAGGCCTGAATTACAGTTAGTGACTCATGGTTCTCTAGTAT